ACGCGTCCTGCCTTTCCTGAGCGATGCCCCGCGCCCGTCCGTGCGCCGGAGGCGATCGCGTGGGCTTTGCCCTGGTTCAGAGAGGTTATGCTCGCTGTGGAAGCGGGACTTCTGCCAGGAATGTGAACTTAATACTGCTTTTTATATCGTAACAAAGAGACGCAAGCAACCAAGTAGAACAGCTGTAAAGTGTGATGGCTTTCTCTAAAACAGAGCCTCAGACTGCGTTCTGTTTGCTAAGAGGGTTTTCGGTGCAGGTCGGTGGGCTGCTGAAGGGGGATGGTGGTTAGCTGGCACCTTGATGCTGTCCTGGCTTTTCGATGGACAGAAGCTTTATCAGTTGCATACTGTCTGCAAAGTAAGGTCTGCTGTATTCCCTCAGGTGCTAAACTGACTCTTAACTTTCTTAACTCGCACCCTGTAAGTCTCCACATTAAAAATAACAGGAGTCCATTGTTTACCTATGCTGGGGTTCTGTATTGTCTGGTACTTTTGCCTTTGGCCAGAGGCGCTACAGAAGATTGTGATCTGCATTTTGGGCTTTGACCTCAGTCAGAAGTGTCTGGTCTTGTCCCTAAACAGCCTGGGCGCAGCTGCGTGAGCTGTGGGAACTGCAGCCAGGTGGATGTCAGCTGTTGCTGCTCTTCCACTGTCTCCGAACATCAAAGGTCTGCAGGGGAGACTGATAAAAGAGACCCCGTTCTTCAAAAAAAATCTCCTTCAAACCTTCGGTACCAGCTGGCTCCACAAGAAGAAAGTTTTGACCAGCGTTGCTAGGGCACGGAGACACACGTGCACATAAATATGACAGCGTAAAGATAAGGTTTGGGGAGGACCTGCTATAGCTGAGTAGAGCAGTTGCTCTCAGATCTTTGCAGGCAGATCTTGGCCCACGGCAGGACAAATAGGAAAGTGCCCCCCTCCAAGTTATAAAGGAGGGGACTAATTGAGGAGATAACAGACAGCAAAGCTTTGTCAGTGCTCGCAACACAGGTGAAATTGTCCGTTAGTGGCATCTCTTTGGGAAGTAGCTTTCTGCTGCTTTATGCTCTCTTGTGGGAGGAGCTGTACCTCCAGTTTGCTGTCCTCAGGGTTACCTACAGCTGTATTTGCTATATCAGCCAATCAGTCGGGCTTTTCAGTTATGTTCCTGCCCCTCTTAAATGCCCAAGCGCTTCCTGACCCCGGTAAAAGCTCAGTCTGAGCTGTCGCTGGGGTTGTGGTGGTGGCACTGATGGGGACTGGCCACTAGATGGCACGGAGCAGTGTCTGAAGGGCAATCCCAGCCTGGGAGGCAGCTTGTTTACTTCGGGGAGGCCGGAACGAGGAAGCAAGGAGCCTGGCTGAATCCTTTCCTGTATCTGGAGCCAAAGAGCAGCTAGGAGGATCCAAGGCAGGGTGGGGTTTGTTGGGTGTCTTTTTGAAGACGACTGTTTCTCTCTGTCCCGTCTTGTGCATGAAGGACTTGTTTGTGCACGTAGAGTTGCCCCAAATAACTCCAGAGGAGGACCATCCTCTCCTGAGAGAAGAGGAACGAGGCATTCTTGTTTAACCCACTCTTCTGGGATGTTACAGAGCAGGCGTCTTGGCCCCATGCTGTTAGTCGAGAATAGCTGGGCTTGAGTGATCTCGTAGGCAGCCAAGTCCTGACACGGAGCTGTTGCCGAGCCGAGGCTCCCGTGGCGGCGCGCAGCTCACCACGCGAGGCGGGGTCTCCTTCCCTCCTCCCAGTTACATCATGGGCAGCCGAGTTGTTGTTCAGCTCAGACGCTTGACTCCTATTCCCACCGCCACGCTCGCTACTTGGGAGCTGAAGTACTCCTAGGCTGCGTCCTAGAAAGGTCCCAAAACTTAATTAAGCAACTAATGAACAGAAACAGACAGCTGGCTGCTTCATAACTTGGCATCTGAATACCAGTTATTCTGTATGTGATCTGTGAGCTCCTTATTTTCCATAGTTCCAATTAATACGCATCTGGTGGGCACACACCCCACATCCAGCTGGCTCCGGATGCAGCCTCGCTGCTCAATCCACACCCCAGAGCAGTGAAAGAGGTGACTCCCAGCTGAGACTTCTGGAGAAGAAATCTTTCTGGGCATACGCCTTTGCTGGGACTGTGTTTTGTTGCCCAAGTTTGTTGTTCATAGCAGTTGTGTATGATTTATCACGTTTGCCTCTACTCCTACTTTCAATTCCCCTCTTATATGAGAAGTGAAGGGGAGGCTCTGTTTCCTCAGCATCTTTTTTTTCATATTCTTTTAGTGTTACAAGCATTTGTGGAACAAACTGAAACTTTAACGGCACGTGGCTGAACGCCTTTTCCCCTTCTAGGTTATAGGGCTGTGTATTTTGGAGAAAATCCACTTTTGTGACTACTTATGGATAATGCTCTCAGAAAAGAGTGGAGCAACTGTCACGCTCTCCAGAAGTAATGGAAATACTCAAATGCCAAAAAGTAGTATAAATGCACGTGGTCCTGTCCTTAGCCTAACGTCTTGCTTCCCTAATAGGATGGTGACAAGTTCTGGAGAATGCCAGAGTGTTACATTCGTGGCAGCACAATTAAATACCTGCGTATCCCCGATGAAATAATTGACATGGTGAAGGAAGAGGTGGTGTCGAAGGGCAGAGGTCGCGGTGGGATGCAGCAGCAGAAACAGCAGAAGGGCCGTGGAGTTGGAGGTGCTGGACGAGGTAACGATTCTGTCTGCTTTTCCGCTCTTGAGTGGAGTGACTGGGGTTGTTGCCTTTAAAGCTCACATCCTGTGCGAGAAATGGTTGTTGCTTCTCACCTTTAAACCTAGTGCTGTTGGTGAGAAGCTGGAGTTGTTCCTGTGCGAGATCTAGCTGAGTGAGTGCACTGCCTTGCTTAGGCCTTAGCCAAAGAATACAAAGGAGACATGCAAGGGGTGTGCCTTTCTGGTTTCTGGGGTTGGGTAGGAGCTTAAGAGAGTCTCTGAACTTGACTGTTTCTACCCCTTCTGGCTAGTTGAAGAATATGGGCTTGCGCATGTCCCTACAAAATTTCTGGTGTCTGCTAGCTGAGCGAGTCTGGGAGGCAAACAAGTGGCTGTTCTGTTTGAAAATGCACTGGGCTCTGACCATCACAGTGGTAGAAAAATATCATCTTGTCTGCCATTATGATGGTGCTTTTGATCTTCTGATTGGTCTTCCCCTCCCCCCCCAACTTTTTTTAATATAGCTGAGGCTTTATGTCCTTTCTGCTCTACGCAAATTTCATGCTTCTGACATAAGGGGAGGTTACCGCTTGTGAAGAAATAGGTCACAGAACCTCCTTCCCCTCTCCTGCTGAAAATGGTTAGGTTATCTTGGAACGCTTTGGTTTGGGGGTATTTTTGTCCTTTTTTGCCAAAACTATCCTCTGGGAAGCCTGCGAACCATTTCTCTTCTTTCCTGCTCGCGCCTCCTTTGAGATTCACTTTGTGGTCACCTCACTAGCCCCCTTTGTCAGCCCGACGGTTGCTCTTAATACAGGATTTGCTGGCAGTAGGAGCTCCAAATCCTGAGTGCGCTGTATTGCTACAGCAAAATCGGGTTTGGCCTAGGAAAGGTAGGTTTTAAAAGGAGCCCTGGGGACTGAGACACTGAAGGGCGAAGTCTCTCTGCGCAGCGCCCTTAACAAGCTGTCTGCATTTTGACTATGCAAGGAATTCTGGTAGGACAGCTGTGATCTACCTGAGGCCATCACGCCACTCTGGGACACGTGAAGGGCCGTGCCTACAAGTTCCCGGGACTTCTAGAGGAAAAACCCCTATGACTTCTGCTGCGCATGCTATCTCCTGAAAGCTCTGAACATGCAAAAGTGACCTTTACAAATCTGAAGGCGCCTTTATTTTTCCTCCTTCCCTTTTCGGTGTCCAAAGCACTTGGCATAGCAGCTTTTTGGATATGGTTGTTTGGACAAACATTTTAGCTGAAATGTTTTTTCTGCTGCCTGTGCTGTGGAAATATCCACCTTGTGGAGAGCAGAGCCGAGTTCTGTTTGAGGTGGAGTTCCCTGCTGTTTTGATGTGCAACTTAAATTAGCTGATGGAATATTTTAAAGGGAAGCTTTGGCATTTGCTAATTAGCTAAAAGGTTTGGCTCTCATTACTGAGACATGAAGAGGGGGGGAAAAAAAAAAAAGGAGGACAATTTTGCTGAGAGGCCAGCAGGCAGAAGTAAAGCTATAATTGTGCACACAGTTGAAAGGATTATTGTTTCTGACACCGGTAATCCTTCGTCTTCTGAATTTGGCAAGCCAAGAAGCAAAAGTACTGTAGTCTTTGCTCAGCTTCCCTGGGAGCAGTTGGAGCTCTGTGAGCATCCCAAGGACTACGGGGTTAGAAGCTGCTTCCCCTCCCTGCCCCCTTCTAGTTTAGGCCTGTGATCTGGGCTAAGCAACCAGAGCGGAGGGCTCTAGAGCAAAGTCTCCTGCCCAGAGCAGGCCTCCTTTGAGTTCCGATTTTTGTGCAAAGATCACTGGAGGGGTGGTTTCACAGTCCCTTCATCGCTAATGTGCTGAAATAAACTTCACAGTTATGGCCTAGAATCTCATTCTATCCATTTTGAGTGAGTTTGTTCAGCTGGGGGGGGAAGAGGGGCGCTAGCAGCTCCTGAGACAAAAGTGGAAGTAGCTCCCAGGTGTGAGGGTGCTCATATGTCTGCAGAGTCTTGCTGCAACACTTGGTTATTGCTGTCTTCTGACATCATGGCATCCAGTGCCTTCTCCGTGTGCTGATGGATCACTTTGTCCAAAAGCGAGGCAGTGACAGTGGGATATATTTTCTGTTTTGTAGCTGAGTTTTGTGACTGAGTCACCCTCTTCATTGCATTTGGTTTGGTTTTGCAGCTTTCATGGGATACAGTACAATCTGCTAATCCCCCTGGTGACAGATGCTTCTGCTTGATTTAAAACTCAGTATCTCTTTCTTGTTACATTTTTCAAAATCAGTAGACTTTAATTTATGATGCTAGCACAGCTGGCTAGTAGAGTACATGTTAACGCAGAGAAACATCGCTGAACTTGCAGGTGTGGGGAGATACGTTTTATGCACCTAGTGAATAAACTACAGGGTCTGGAATTGGCAAGGGATAAGTCTAAAAACGCTGTCTCTACTTCTGCAAAAACTGGAAGATAGGCTTGCATTCAGGCAAAGTATAAACGAGTGTAAAGCTCTGAGTGGCTGGGAAACGTGTTGCTGGGTTACACCAATGTTCTTACACCTGTTTTTCTTGTTTTTTTGCTTTGGTTTGGTTTTTTGCCCCATAGGTGTGTTTGGTGGCCGTGGCCGAGGAATACCAGGCAGTGGAAGAGGCCAGCAGGAAAAAAAGCCGGGCAGACAATCAGCAAAGCAATGAGAAGCTGTGTTGCAGCCTGGCCAGAGACAGTGCTGGGATGCTGCTTGGTTTTATCACCTCAGGATTACCATGCGTTCAAAAGTGTTAAAATTCTAGTCTTTAGTCAGCTATTCAATGCCAGAATCATGTTGCTTGGAAGCCCCTCACAGTCTAATCTGGTAAAGTGAAGTTCACTTCTTTTACTCAGAAAATTTGTAATTGGAAATACTTTAAAACAAAAAAAAAAATCACTTACGGTAGAGGACCTAACTTCAGTCTTTTCCTGAGAGTGAAAATGCTGTTTAGTTCTTCAGGGTCACCAGGTTTAATTTAGTGTTATCCTGTATAGTGTTTTAAGAACTAAGGCAAACACTTTTTCAGGATGGTTTGTTTTGTTTTTATACTTGAAACTTGGGAAACTTGTTGCATTTGTAACAGATGCAAACACTTTGATTTAACAACACTGAGCTTGAGAATGTTGTATCTTTACGTGAGTGGTCTTAAGGGTTCATTTTTAAAAAAAAACAAAAATTTAAGCCATCTCCTTTCTGGCTGGTCCGTTCTGTCTCTCTCCTGTGCCTTAGAGCACAGGCTAAGGGGAGAGCTTGGGATGAATGTTGCATTGGCCTTTGTAAGGGCTGTTTTCCATAGAGCTTTGTTGTAAATAAGGGATTCTCAATTAGTAGCATTTCTCCTTTGACTTCAGTTTAGAAGTTTCCTTTAAAGGAAAGGGGTTTTTATGTTTTACTGTGGAAGGCTAATATGCCCCTTACTCTATATTGCTTTTTCTTTCCTTTTTTTTCCCTGAAAAGCAGTTGGAACCGTTAAGTTTAAATTTTTTTTGCTTTGAATATTCTCTCCCTTGTGCCTGTGACATGAAGTCTTGCAGTCAGATTCCTGAGTTGAGACTGTTTGTTTGTTTGTTTTAAAGCTTATTTCTCATGGTGTGTAGTGATTGACTTCACTATAAGTACCTGTCATTTCATTTTCTACTAACTGTCCAGATATCTTTCCTTGGGGCCAGAGACCAGAGTGTGAACGTGCCCCTCTTGTAGGTCAGCAGGAAAGTTCCTGTGAATTTCCAGGTCAGGTTGCTTAAAGTCTTCCATCTCAAAGGTGCAGTGTCCCATGAGCAAAACGTACCTGCAGAATATCCTGGCTGATCTGAACTGAAACCCTGTGTAGGGTTACTGGGGGAAGAACGAGGCTGTAGATCTTGCCTCCACTTCCTGAATGACTATGTTTAATTTGAAGGTAAAAGCAGATACTGTGAGCAACTTTGGGGGGGGGGGGTGTTGGGTTTTTTTACAACGGACTCCCGTATTGAGGTCCACTCTGTCATCATCGCTGTTTTGAAGAGAAAGTAAGTGAAGTGCACGCTTTTCTATCTACTTATTTTTTTGAATGATTACAGAATTTTTGCTGAGTGGTGAGTAGGAATAAATCGCCAACCTGTAGAAAATGACTTCCTTCCTGTGTCTGCAACAAAGCTGGGCCTTACCAAACCCTTGTAAAAACCCTTCTTCTATCACTAGCATAAAGAATAAACAGCCAAGCAGACTGGCTAAACCTCTGGTCTCTAAAACCAGCTGCTGCGTGTTCTGCGTGGCTACCTTTCGTCAGCGTGGCCTCTGTTCCTCGGAGCGTCGGCAGCGAAAGCCCCATCCCAAGCGAGGCTCTTCTGCCAAGAAGCGAACTCCAGGCAGTGGGAACAGGGCACATGTGTCCTCCCTCCTGGAAACTCCGTCTCAAAGTAAACACCAATGTGGCATTTTAACAAAGCACAGGCTGAGCCCTGTGTCAGACTTTCCCTTCCCAACCTGCTCCCTCCCTTTCTCGTCCCTGCCTCCAGCCACAGAAACCCCATGTGTTACAGCTGCCCTAATGAAAAAGGAAACAACTGCAGTAGTGTCTGGATTTACGGTCTGTTCTGGCCAGATAATGTTCGTTGGAACAATGGGACCTTTGGCTTCGGCTCAGGGTAGAGTCCTCTAAGCGCGCCTTATCTCCTCGCGAAGCTTGGGGTCGGGCGTTTTAGCTCATTAAGTTCTGCTTTTGTTTAATTACAACCGTGCTCCTTATCGGTGTTCCCTTACTGCCTCCCCCTTCTTTGCATCCTGGGCCATGTTCTTTCCACCTCTTTGGGAGTGTTTTCAGGCCGAGCCGTCGCACGCGACGCGGCGGCAGGTTCTGTGTCGGAGATAACCGCGCGCGAGGGGCATCCAGCCCTTCTGTCGACGCAGAGCTAGTCTGCGGTTTCGGTCCTTCCTGCACGCTCCCCAAACTGCCTTCCTGTCCCAAAAAGGGTGGCCGAGGCCGGCGTGCGGCAAACAAACCCGGGCGCTCCAATCCGGCCCCATCGCAGCGTCTGAAACGAACGCAAGGAGGAGCGAGATAAAAGCGACAGCCGGAGAGGAGGGAAAAGGTCTAAGACGCGATGCCGGCGTGGACACGGGCGGCCTGGCAGGGCGAGCGGCCCCCGGCCGGAAAAC